TGGATTATACGGGTGAGCCATACGCAAATGGGCTTTGTGGTGGATGCCAGCTGTTAGCCCTCAGGGTCTACCATCTGGTGAAAGATATTGAAAAGATAAAGGCTCCTACACAATATGACTTAGACACACCTGACGATACACGTGCCCCTCGCTGGAAGAATAACAAGGAGTAAAGCAAAAGTACCTCCCTTGAAAGGCTCTTTAGAAATACCTTCTGTAACAGATACGACTGTACAGGATCGAATAGCAAAAAATGAAACTGACGGCAATCAAGGAGGAAATCAGAAAAACAAGAAGAAATCCGGTTGTAAAAAAGCTAACGAAAATGAGCAGCAACTTCTAAGTGATATTCCACAGCACCCGGGCTAGAAACCATGACAACAGCCCCGTCCATATCGTTTAATGCCGAAAGTCCAAAAACAGTCCGTAACGCCCAGAAAACTCTTGGATCGGAATGGCCCAGCACAAGTAGTGGTACTGAGGCAATTACCGGATCTACATACCATCATTCGATATCGTCCATATCAACGACCTACTTTAATTCAGTTAAAACTGATGTCGATCATCGATACCGCGATATAGAATGTGTTCCACCAACGCCATCTATTACCCTTAAAGGAGCACATCCACCAGAAAAAAAATACGACAACAAAATATGCGAACGATATCGCTAATGTCTCGTTCTTCAATGGCTTCCTGAATCATATGCCGACACTCCTAAAAAGCGGATTTCCGAAGATCTAAGGCCATTCCAAGGCTTGCTCGACAATATCCTGGAACCTATTGAGGCAATCGAAGTACTCAAAGCCTTCCTTCCCGGAAAACGGACAAACAATCTGCCAACACCAACACGCCCCCGACCTCTCAAAGTTGTTCTGGCTTGTAAGGAGGAAGCTGGGTTGATTCTATCTCGGCGCTATAGAATAAAAGACACCAACACCGGCGTTTTTTTCAACAGGATAACTCAACAGCAGAGAGGCTGAAACTTCGTCTTCTAGTTCTGGAGCTGAGGAAGAGACTCAGCGAAGAACTGAATTTCGTTATCTACAACAACCAAACTAGACAGCGTCTATCATACTTTCTTTGGAGGGCCCCGATCTGGATGACCGCGAACTGGAATATTAGGCGAAAATACTAGACGCATCGAAATTAGTTCTCTGCCAGCCATAAATCGCAAACTGAAATTTCTATGCACAAATTTGCAGAGCATGTTATCGAAAGTTGACGAGCTAAAGATCCATCTATCTGATCTATATCTGAATGTAATCTCACTTACAGAATCTTGGCAGAACCAGCAGGTGGACAACCGCGAGTTAACTATACCAGGATACCAGCTGTTTAGAAGAGACAGGTCAGGACGTCAAGGCGGAGGCGCACTCACGTATGTAAAACACGGGCTTATAGTTTCAGAAAAAAACAGATAAACTTTCGTGTTCTTCTGGGGCAATTTAGCTAACTATAAAACAACCGGGTTCATAGAGCCTGGACGTCCTAACGGTCTACCGACCGTCGAGAAATGATCCCACTGCGTACGCCCGTCTGTTTGTGGACCTAAAGAGATTCTCTATCCGATCCGAAGTCTTACTCATGGGGGACTTTAACGTACCTCTTAATGACTGGAGTTCAGCTTATGCGTCTGGTCCAGACCATGCTTTAGACAGACGTTTGCTGGACATGACCCTCAAGTTATTTCTCTCTCAGCACGTCCCTTTTCCGGCGAGGGTGCGCTAAGCGCAACAGTCAAACTGTCTGGATCTGCTCCTTACGAAGTCACTGGACAGCATTGATGAGATGCAGTGTCTACTTCCCTGAGGTCGAAGCGACCACGTCGTCCTGTTGTGGGAGTACTCCATTTCTCTCCCGAACAGGCCACCAGGGTTAGAAGGAATATTTGGCGCGGTGATTTTGCCGAATGAAAGCTGAACTAAACACTTTAAACTGGGAATCAGCTTTTTCCAGTGATATAATCAAGGATTGGGACTGGTTTAGTGAGTTACTGCACGTTCTTCTCGGAGACCACTGTCATATTTCACGGAAGAAAATGAACTGCAGACCCTTCGTGGCTAACACAAGCTTTAAAAGAAGAAGTGAATACGAAGCAGAGTTCATGCAGAAAATTCCTTTCGGATAGGAGCTATGTGTCGATAAATGCATAAAAAACACAGAGGAACCTAGATGGAAGGTTAATCCTCGGGAAGCGGCGTAATTTCGAGAAAGACATACTGAATCCAGATGCAGAAAATCCGAAGTTATTCTATGGTTACAGGAAACAGAGAACCAAACCCGTTTTTAAAAATAAGTGACGACCTAGAACTCAGTGAATACGGAGAAAATGCAGAGCAACTTTCACAGTTTTTTAAGTCCACCTTTACGAAGGAAAGAGCATTTTTTCCTCCCGACTGCGAAATAGTGGATAGGCCAACAATTAAGCAGGTTTCTTTCGCCGAAGCTATTGTTTGCAAAGAACTGTTCAAGTTGAATTAGTCTAAATAACCTGGTCCGGATGACATACCGGCCAAAATTTTGAAGGAGATGGAGAACTATCCAAACCGCTGTCCATGCTCTTCCAAGCTTCGTTCGATGCATGCTATTTGCCCGCCGATTGGAAATCCGCGCAGATCACGCCAATTTATATCGGCGGCAGTAAGGTCTTAACAAACAACTGCAGACCAATCAACCTTACTTCAATTTGCTGCAACATTATGGAAAAAATAATTAATCGATAAATAATGCGCGTCCTAGAAGAGCATAATCTGCTATGGGATGCCCAGTACGGAGTTCGTAGAGGCAGATAATGCATGACATGCCTTTAGATCACTGGACCAGGGCATTCGATGGCGGCAATGTAGTGCACATAATCTACTTCGACTTTAAGAAAGCATTCGACAGTGTACCACATCAGCGTCTCCTGTACAAATTAAGCCGAAAAGACATTAGGGGTAATCTCCTGATGTGGATCTAAAGTTTTTTGATCGGTCGCTCTCAAATCGTCTACGTCGGTGACAGGCAGTCGGCGGGGGTAGCGGTTGAAAGCGGTGTTCCGCAAGGCTACGTTCTTAGCCCTACCTTATTCATTATATACGTCAACGACTGCGTCAGTGAACTGAATTGTAATGTCGCCATGTTCGCTGAGGATTTTAAACTTTGGAACGTCATCCGAACTGAATTTGACGAAGAACTCTTGCAGGCTGACCTGACCCGATACGAGAAATGGTCACAGGAATGGCTTTTGCCGTTTAATGTGACTAAGTGCAATGTTTTGCGAGTCGGCAGGACTCGATATCTGAGGCGGAGGGTTTACCACCTAAATGGTGTACCATTGCAGGACCTAGACGCTCAGAAAGACCTTTGTGTGTGGGTTTACGTCTTCTCTAAAACCGTCGCCCCACTGTTACATGTCAGCCAAGTCAGCGATGTCAGTACGTTATCTTGCCAAGAGATCTTTCTCTAACTTCGATGAGGACTGCTGCGTCAAGATCTTTCGGAGTTTCGTGCGACCACAGCTAGGGTTCGCTATGCAGGCGTGGAAGCCTGGACCTCTAAAGATCTCGGCATCATTGAGAAGGTTCAAAGGCAGGTAGCCGAAATTGTAAGTGGATAGGGTTCACTACTCCATGAACCACTATTGTCCAATCTCGGCCTTTTTCCACTGTGTAACATACAGCTAACATGCGACCTTATAGAAACATTCCCTATACTGCGCAGCCAGGACTGTGTCTCTTACCTGTTGACTTCTTCGAGTTGGCAATCACAATGAACCTCCTGGGTCATTCAGTTAAAATACGCGTAACCGACGGCAAGCAGGATATTCGGAAGTTCTTTTTTTTCAAACAGAGTGTTCGAGGTCTGGAATGCTCTGACAACAGATGTCGTCATGCCCACATCCATCGAGTCTTTTTAAGTGCAAATTGGACCAGTGTACCACCAAACGTCATAATGCCACCTAACCGATAGCCTAGGATTCCGCCCGAACAGTTTATTAATGTTATTATATTACTGCCCGTATTTAAGTAACGTTTATTTTTATTTTTGCACTTGTCTGTTTATTGTGTGAAGGCATTTAATTTGTCTCCCTTAGGAACTGAGATAGCACCTGCTATCCATTGACAGACTACTGTACAGCACATTTAGTACCGTTAATGTTTTTAACTTTTGGAGCAATTATTTTATCTGTCAATTTTTTCTATAATTCGCCTGCTTGTAACAAATAGGTAGTTCAAAGGTGCAACACCTATATTTCCCTCAAATAAACTTAACTCAAGTGAACTGACAAATTGTTCTTTCAGAGAACTTTGATAGCTTTAAAGGAATTGCAATAAAAATGCCAATATGGGCAGCTAAACGAACGACAGGATATTATTTTATAGTATCGAAAACGAAATTATAATTCATTTGCCTGATTACCCTATTAAACACCTTTTCACATTAAATCATGAAAATCACAAATTTAGCTATTTATAATTCAAGTTTTAGTTTACTCGATTAAGGAACTAGGTGACTGATGTTTTAATCTGAATGATTTACAATACCCACTGATATATACGTTCGACCACTTAAATATCCCCAAAAATATTATAGGTGAAAAAATGTAAAATAACCAACGGATTGTAAAATTAATTTCGTGTAAACAACCACAAGTTTATGATTGCCAACAGGCAATGCCGTCCCACGATATCAGCCTTGAAAAACATCAGTCAATAAAATATATTTGAACATTAATGTGCGCACATGATTAGAATAGGAAAGTTGTCAGATGTGAAATCTACGCGCTCCTTTCGAAAGACGTAGGGCACCCAATCACCTTCCTTTCGGGCAGTCCACACAGATATATAAGGATTCATTTTTGTGGGGTCTCCACGAGCCACTGCATTCACCGACCTTGGGGTGCGTGAACGAATCCCACATGTCAGTAGTCTATCAAACGACAGTAGTATCATCGTCATATAAATCATGAATTTGTTACTGCCTTCTATGTTGGTTTTAGAGCTGATAGTAGTAGGATGATGAAGTTCTTGTTCAACGGTTTACTTTTCCACGCATTTGCCTTCTATGGTATGTTTCAGAAAAATTCAAATTTAATTTTCTACATAAGGTTTCTCCTTAAATCAAATAAGAAAACATCATTTTTCCTTCCTAGTGTCTGCTGAGGAATCGAGCACTGATGCGGCGAGTACTTCTGACACAGCGGCTGCTGCTTCTGATGCAATTGGTAGTGAATCTACCGCAACCCAGCAACCTGGCCCTTCCTCTGGCGCATCAGATTATACTAAACCTAAGGGTGATGATTACACGAAACCGCCATCTGGGCCTCCTCAAGGCGAACCGGGTGAACGCACAATGAACTCCGGCGACTCGATCCTATTCATGTCACAGTGCCTCCTCCTGCCACTCCTGCTTGCCGTGTTCGCTAAGCTGTAATGACATCTTCCAACACAAACACCTCCCAATAAACATGGTCTATTGAGCGCATTATTATTTACTGCAGACTGCTCTACAGAGGGCTTAACATGAAAAGATACAGTCGCCATCAACAGCAATGCTAAATTTCAGGTTAGATTGTAACGGCATCATTACCGAAAGATGAGCAGGGAAGTGGCTCTTGTGAATAAAGTTAATTCAAGAATATATCGTATGCCGTGGCTACGGTGGATGGGCTAATTCATGAAATTTAAACCAAAATTTTGAATTGCGTTCTCGTTACGAAAAGATTAAGTTGTTTTGTAAAACTTATCCTCATGCGGCATAAAAATCCACTTACGCCATGGTGTCGGCATTCGAATTATCTTAATTCGGACTGCATGGGAGGAATATTCCCTGCAAAAATGACTACATCACTAGCATGCAATTTTCGCCTTTAGTTTCTAGGCCCTAAGTATTTAATTATATATCATGGAAAATATGCGTACAAAATATTTAATTTCTTACTCCTTCCTTAGAAAATCGCGTCTTCATCCAATTTTATAAAAGGTATATTTTGGCCTCCGAAATGTTCTTTTCGTGAGATCTTTAACACCGTTAATTTTCTTTCATAAAACGCCATGTGTCTGCATTTATGTATACGGCTTTTAATGTTAACATTATTTTTCAAATCTCCCGCTTAATTTTATGAACATTATATGATCTCCTCTGAATGACGTAGAGAAACGCCTGGATTAGCCTACATGGAATATATACGGCATGCAGTTTTGAAACCTCAAATGCAAGTGTAACAGCAGGTTTGGTTCAAAATAATTCGGGAGTTGGGAATGTTTTTAAACCCAAATTCTGCTCTTAGTTTAAGCATAAAATCGCAAGAAGATGTGATTTTCTACCGCATAAATAAAAGAAAGAACGTTTCTGTGCATGCATTCTATGCAATATAATTGTTTGAAAAAGATGCATGACACGTACGAAATCATTTTGCGTAGAGCACAGTTTTTTCCATGTAGTGGGAAATAAGATATCATTATATAATTATGTTGCAAGATGTTAAATTTTAAAACATTTCTTAATTATTTATTTTTCGAATGGAGAAATCATTTCAAAATTTCGGTTGACATTTCATGAGCAAGCCCACCTACTGCAAGTTGGCTCCAAATTAAAATATTCAGTAAATTAACAAGTTTAAAGGTCGACGATATCGACAAGTAACACAAGCCAAATGATTGCCATACGTATGGTTGTACGAGAAATGCAGACAGCGCTCTAATGTGGTCTTAACCACCCTCTTGTGAGTCAAATTGAATTTCGAAATTTTGCACCTAACAGTAGGACATTGAACGGTAAACATTTAAACTTCGATCTTCTGCAACTGTGTTTTTGTTGGTCCTTGTGCGCATGGCGTTAGCTATTGTAGAAAGTCATACTTACGCAACGACGACGCATGCTGTGGTTATGTTCTGCCCTCCCTAGAGAACGCAACATAGAAAATTAGTAAAATGCCGTTTAATGACAGCAAGCATATGCGTTTTGTACGCAGCGAATTAGTACCTATCAGGCATAATCTCCCCTCCTCCAATGATTAATGGGTAAGGACTCACTAACATTGCGGGCTACATCAGTGTGCATGTAGTCATTAAGTGGCCGTATTAGGAGACGTCTGTAGAAGGGGATATGCGTACATCAGCCTGAGCAGGCTTGGTTGGAAATAGACTGATTTTATGTCGCATATTTACGCATCTAGTGGACGCGAATGACCAAGTCGGACTGAAAGAAGCTTATCAGATTGTCTGCCGAACACCAGCAAACTACTCGGAGGGGTTTACGACAGTGGATGCCAGCAGGAGCAGCAGCATCTGAGGCAGTGCAAGTCAGTCGACGATTCAAGTGCTTTGTTGTCAGAAGACGTTGGTCTGCCTTCTGTGGCCGACTCCATGTGGTGATTGCGCGCTGCTCCGATATCCTAATCATAGCCGTGTGCACTCCACGCATTCGGCGCCTCGCGCATGCTGTCCCGAACACCCTCACGCGGCTTTCACGACCATAACACGCCGACGTTGCCATGCGGCGGCCTCAGGACGAGGCGTGTGTCTTATCCACTTTCACTTCTTCGTGATCACATGGAAACGGTGGAGTACCGGAAACGTAAGCATGTCTGTCAATCAACTTTTAAAACTAGATCTGCTTCCTAAAGTGTCGTGCATTGTTATCGCTAAGCAACTGGCTCTTTTGAATGTCCGCCTTCGAAGGCCATAATTCCGTCGTTCAAAAATGCAGACGGTTTTGAAAATACTGGCTTGAATATATAAACCACATACAGCAATGTCTTTTGCAGGTCACGTATAATTTATGATAGTCTCGAGAAATCCCATTCAGCGTACATGAGGTGCGCCAACTAATGAAATGTCAAGCGGAATTCGGAAATGCGTTTTCGTTTCAAAAAGATTACTTTTGTAGGATTGTAGAAGCAAGCATTATGCAGCATAATTCTTTAATCATTCCGCTACCTGAGTATGTAGACTTTCGAAAGTACTTCCTTTCGGCTGCATGTAAAAGCTATAGTCTATAAAAATGGTTGTTTATGAAGCATGTTCTTTTGTCGTTGATTTTTAGTACTCTTACGTATTCCCGTATACCGCATGGAAAGCGTACATAACAATAAGTTTTCTTTTGTTCATTAAATGCATAATTACGTCTTGTTCCAAAGTTAAACTCGAAGGTAGACTATAATATACTGGTGAAAAATATTTTACCAAATTTTAAATAATTTTCAGCCCCACGCGCACATATCTATGTAATTACGAATACTTATATTGAGAAATATGATTTTCATACCATTAACTAGACGTCAAAATGCAGAAAGGCATGAATTCTGTCAAATTTGCTGCAAATTGCGACGTCGACTAGAGGCATAAACATTATTTTACAGACATATAAATTACATACACATAACTAAAATTCTACTTAATGTATTTATGTGTATATATTCACTCAGGAATATGCGCACACCGATCCATTGGCTTCCCGAAGCAAACAAGCCTCGTATGGGCGATAGGGGTCACGAACAGGCAACCACCTACCAGGCTGAGGTCGTTCAAACTACGACAGCAGAGAGCAGAAGACAGAGTCTGTGGGGTAGATTGATATAGCACTCTTTCGGGCTTTTTTGCCTTCATTCAGGCAGTCATAACCCTGGCCACCAGCTGGTATTGGAAACACAAACGTGCGCCCAGACGCAGCTGGTCCACCACTGGGTCTACCAGATGGGTCATAAGCACTTCATCATCATACCGATCCAATGGCTTCTCAAAGCAAACAAACTTTGTATCGTGCTTTGTTGAAGAGTTGGGTCTTCTTCTTGTCTCGCTCCTCTCTCACCTTAATCACGATCCAGCTCTCCAGTTTGCGCATTGTTTGCTCGTCCAGGTATGCTGCACATGCCGCTTTCTCCCTTTCGATTTCCCTGCTGTATTTGCGCAGACGAATGTGACATTCGTTGATGAGGGTCCTAAGTAGGCGTCGGCTGCAGCTCCTGATGACCTCGCGGCCAAAGTCAGTTCTAGCTAGCGGTCTTACAGAAACGCTCCTCGGCATAATGTCCGACCTCAGGCAGTTGTGCAGAAAGGCCAATTGTTCCCATGTAGATCCCTGTCCACAGGAAAATGTTTCCCAGTGTCGCGCTCGGCGAAGCGCTTCGCGCCCGGAAGTCTCATGGATATAAGCGAAAATGCTGACCCCAGGTGTAGAAATGGAAGAAGGAGATAAGGCGTTCTCTGGGGAGGAAGATTTAATCGTCTGACGTTTCATACTCGTACTCGAGCACATCATCGGAGACAGGCCAAATGAGAAATACATGGTTTAAATAGGCCATTCGTGCCCGCGCCTGATAGGTCGATCCCGCACTCCTCTTATTGGTTCTCCTCTCGCGCGCAAGTGGTGCCTGATGGCCTCGCATTGCGCTGGTAGGTCAATACTGCGGTTAATCGAGTTGGCGTCTGATTGCCAGGCTTCGATTACTTCTCTCGCCAGCTTGCTTTCGGCTCGGCCGCGCACTTGGGCACCGTCAAAGTCGAACACGTGATTATTTTCTAGACAGTGCATGGCGACGTACATCCAGCGTACATCCTTTCGCTTTACGGCTAAGGCGTGCTCATGCACGCGCGTGCGCAGACGTTTGTCCGTCATGCCGCAGTAGTTGGCTAGACAGTCGAGACATTTGACGCAGTAAATGACGCCTGACGTGTCTGCAGGTGGTAGCCGGCCCTTGGGTTGCATGAGTAAGCGGCGGATGGTGGCCTCCGGTCGGTGTCCAACGCCCACGCTTAGTGGCCTTAGCATGCGCTCAGTGGCTTCGGAGACGTTTCTCACATAAGGCAGAACGCGGTATAAGCATTTGTTTACGAAAATGCGCGGATGTCCATTGACAAGGAAGAGGTGCCATAGGGTTTCACGCTCCCGCAGCTTTTCGGCTTCTGTGCTGCAGTGTGTGTTGATGCGCCGAAAAAGCGTCCGGACGCAGCTGCGTTTATGCGACGGGGGATGGTTACTGTTGTAGTGGAGAATTTTCTCCGTGTTTGTCGCTTATCGAAAGACACCAGTCTGGAGCGTTACGTCTTCTTGCCTCGTTAACTGAACGTCGAGGAAAGGAAGCTGCGGGAGCGTGAAACCTGGAGAGGTGTACCGTGATTAAGGTGAGAGAGGAGCGAGACAAGAAGAAGACCCAATTCCTCAATAAAACACGTAACCTAGAACGAGCACAAGCACCTGTGCGCGAACCGTCAGCCGTCCACATCCTGTCATCTAAACAGCTGACAACGGACCAAATTAAAGTGCTTGAACAGAAATCCGGCTACAACACAGGAGACGCACAGCCAGTAGATTTTATCGCTGCACTAGAAGTGGCCCTCTCTAAAACGGCTGCCGCGGAAGACTCCAAGAACGCGATTCACCAAGGGGTCGCATCCCTCATCATATCCCATAGACCACGCCGAACCATCATC